ACCGATAATCGGGGAATTCGTGATTGACGACATTGCTTGCGTGACTGTAATGGCTCTCAATCGCGATGCCGTACCGATCAGCGCGGGAAACGATCTCGTCTCGTTTGTATCTCTATGTACCACGACAGCGGCGTCGGTAATTCGCGTTCCATTCGTAACGCAGACACCTACTCGATGGGGCCGGTACCCAACGGCCACATCCCACCTCTTCCGTCGTGCCGCATCGTCGCTCGCGGTAATAGGATTTCACGTGAGCAACCTCCCAAGCAGCGGCGGCCGAAAATCGCAGGAGTTTATGTAGCGAGAGATGCGGTCGCGCCGCGTTTGCAGCAACTGTGGAACGAGGAGAGGACGGAGAGAAAAAGAAGCCGCGAGATACAAAGAAAGCGGGGAGACGTCGCTCGCGGCGTCGAGGAAAGTGGCGGAGAATAGAGCGGACAAAGAGAGAGAGAAAAAAAGAGGGGGAGAAAGAAAGAGAGAAAGAGAGAAAGAGAGAGAGAGAGAGAGAGAGGAAAAGACACAAAGAGGCAGTGGCACGGGACAGGAGAGTTTCGCAGAGAGAAGAAAGAAAAGAAGAAAGAGACAGAGAGTGAAAGAGACGTTGGGGCTCCTACAATTTTAATTAACCCGGTACCGGGCACTGAGAACCGATCGCGATCGAATCGGGTGCACGATCTACAAGGAATCTACATAAGATCCTCCACTCGCGGCTACAACTCAATCCCCTCTTTATATTCCGCGCTCGAGGAGCCTTAACCGGGAGGGCCCCGTGGGGCCCGCGCGCCAGACACCACGATGCACCACACATAATCCTCGCCGTTGGTCCCGCCGTGGCTCCTACGCTTTCCTTATCTCGTCGAGGATCGAAGATAGTAGCCCCGCTGCCGCGCTCGCTGGCTCCTCGCCGGCCAGGCGGGCTCATATTGTCCTTCGTGCGGCATGTAACTTACCGGCGACAACGAGAGAGAGAGAGATGGTCGCCTCTTTTTCTCGAAACGCTCCTTCTTGGTTGTCGGGATGCGTGCGCGCCTCATGCGTAACGAGCAAATATTTGAACGATAAATGAGAATATCGCGCGTCCTTGGTAAAAAGAAGGCGGGATCGTTAAAATTATTTCTTTTTTCGGGTAGGACCTCACGTCGCAGTTTCTTTTTTATTTGAAGGGAAAACAACGCGCTAAGCCGCGCGAGAAAACGTTTCGCGAGTCTCCTAGCTTACGTCTATTGACAGACTGGATTACAGCCGTAATAAAAAATTCGAAAATTTGATTGAAAAAATCGCGAAGAAAAATATTAAATATCATTAAAATCTATAAGATACTTCTTGATCAGTCGCTAGAAAAATTTAGCTGTTCTCGATCGCTTTCAAGCATTTCTGATTCTATCCTTGTATTCTGTCTTAAATATTGCCTAATGTACAACAAATTCGAGAGCTTAGCATCTTTTTAATAATAAAATCTACGTTACGTCTCACGATGTATTAGCGCGTTTACGAAACCCGAGCCGCGACGTAAGAGAGGATAAATAAAGAAATAAAGCTTCCAGATCTTCGACGTGCCTGCGAGAACATCACGACTCTCGCGTCTCGCGTCTCGCTCTTTTTAGGACTGCAACGACGAACGAACCCTCAATCCCCTTACGGTACGAGCGGTCGCGTGAGAGGCTGACAAAGACGAATAATATCGATAATATTCCACATCGAAGGCATCTCCCGGTCCGGATTGGCTTAAAACCGACGGGCCAAGGCGCGGTACGCGTGTGCATCCGCGTGCGTGTGCGCGAGAGACGCACGTACGAAGGCGCTCGGATCTCGTGCCGACGGAGATACGGATGCACCCATGGCTGAAGGTTCGTAACACGATAGTGGCCGTATGTAAAACCATCTGGTGTAAAACGAGCTGCTGGCTCGTTCGAGTATTAAATCGGGCCTCTCTTACTCTCTTTCCGACTACTTCCCTCACGGCCCTGCCCCGCTCCTGCCGCCCTCGTCGTTGTCGTAGTCGTTGCCGTCGTCGTCGTTGACTGCCGCCGCTCTTCTTTTTTTCTTTCCTTTCTCTATACCGCAACAGCACCCTTTATCTTCCACCTCCTCCTCCCTCTTTCCCGGCTTGTCGATCGACTCGCGCTGCATGGAGATCTTCGCGTCGAACGCGCGCGCAGAATCTGTTAAGCTGACCAGCAATAACCGCCGCGCATTCCGAGCTTAACGTCGCAACGCGCGCCAAATGAACTCGTTAGCGTTCACGTGTCCGGTGCCCGCGAGTCTGCTTCTCGACCGCTCGACCGAACGTGTCTCTTCTTATTAAAATCCACGCGCTTACTGGGTCGACCAAGGAGTTGTGGATTGGAAAAGAGACCGACCTCTCGATCGCGATATCGATCACTCATAGCATGATGAATGAATCACGGACTACCGATACGAAAGCACAATGCATGACAAAGAATAAGTTGAAAGATCTTTACCAAATCGACATTAATAATATCTATATTAAAAAAGAAACTAAAAAAATATATTGCATGTACTATATTCTTTCGCTCGTTAGCACGACATGTTCCGGCGTTGCATCGCTCGCGTTTAACGGAAACCCACATTGGCGATATCGTTAGCGGGATGTAGTCGAGAACGCCGAAAGGAAAGCACGAATTATACAAGTGGATCGTGCTCGTGCACTTCGCAGCGAGGAAGGCACGGTCGTCGAGAACTGTTCGTTAAGTCGCCGTGTGTCGCGAGGGTGGCGGTGAACGGTGAGAGTGGCGACGTTGGGCGAGGGAGCGCGACGAGGGGGCATCGGCCATGGGAGCGTCGTCGATTTCTTTTTATCGGATCTCCCCAGCTTCGAGGATCTAACCGCCTCTCCTGCGAGTCGGCGGGCACATGCAACCGCGGGGAGCTGCTTAAGCACCGCCGCTGCCGCCGCCGAGGTCGCGATGCCCGGCATTCCTAACGTTAAGGCCGGCAAAACGCATTAGTTAACGGCTCTGAAAATGACACTTTGTATCGGCTAATGGGTAATTAAAGTCCCGGGGTTACGTTTCGCTTGGAATTTATTAAACGCGCCGCTGGGACGCGCGACTCCGGCCCCGACGCGGTTGGATATCGGATCGGCGCGTTTATGGGCATCCACCACTTAAAACCTGCGAAAACGTAGATAAGGGACGCTCGTACGTCGAGAGCCCGCCCGTCCCGCTGAGGATTGCGATACGTCCTCGTCGGTCAGTCTTTCCAAGCCGATCTGAGAATCGCCGATAATGCGCGCCGAGACTACATTTGGCGCTAAATGTGGCAGTTTGATCTCGTATCTGACATGAAGCGTCGCTTAATAACGTTATAATTTTAGAAGAAAAATATACCCGATGAGAAACGTCAAGTACGATCTCTTGCAATATGACTATTGTACTCTAGACGACGTTTATGTCCTGGATTCCAAATTGGACAGATAAACCGACGTCAAATCTGTGACGCGAGTACTTTGATAATAATCGATGGTGGCATGTTGTTAAAATAGAAGCGGATGTATAGCCGATCGATGACAGTTTACGAGCGAAATTGGATGATGGCTCCAAGAACTGGATTTCGTATGGGAATATAATCGTGTTCTTTTTTTCTTTTTTTTTTTCATTACGTGATTCACCAATATTACGCCGAAGAACTGCGATCGCTCGGCTGAAATCAACTTGACGTTGCGTGTCGTTTTACGTAGCGCTTTTTATTCGTACATTCTCCACAATTTCATCCACGAGATATTCATGAAATCCCTTACAGTTACAGTTCGCAAGTTAACAATATATACCTTCGATAATACAACTATCACATACTATCAGTAACAACTAACGACTACAATGGCAACTCATTTACTTACGCATTGATAGCATATTAATATAGAAATACATGCGTACATATATTGTGCCACTTACGCGTTATCATCGTTTCCATCGTAACGCGATTCCCTGCCAATCGTCGCTGCAATCAAATCGCGACGACACTCGATCGATATCGAATAAACGGCTTGTGACGATTTACATCGAGATGTCTGTTATGTCGTTAAGTTAAGTTCGCCTCAGTCCCGAAGCAACTTCGACACCGTGAGAAACGATTCCGTGCGCCGACCCCTTTCTTTCCTCTTTTTTTTCTTTTCTCTTCTCGTCCGGCGTTCCGAGATCTCGCGACGAACATATTTAATAATAACGCCGGCCGATTTATCACGCGCGTTAATGAGAAAGAAGTCGTATGCTGCACGTCATCTCGCGCCGCGCCGACTCTTTCTTAATGGGTCTTGCCTACATTCATCGTAACCAATCTACGGTACAAACTCTATCCACGGCTACAGCTACGGCAATGGTGACACTTAAATTTAATCCTAACACGCCGGAGATGACGTTTTTTGCGAGCGATGTCTCACCGGGGAAGCTCACGCTGCTTCTTGCGCAAAATATTTCCGTGAATCATTATCTTGCGTCGTCATCGCTCGAAGAATTGCTCAATGTATCGATTTAAGAAAATTTCGTAATAATAATACGTTATAAATATCCTATGCTCTATGCGCACGTCAACGCACAGATTGAAACACTTTGCGCAAAAAGAAAAGCGTCAATAAATAGTATCGAGGTGTACGTTAAAAATTAACATTAAGATAAAAAGCAAGATGTATAATATTATTTGTATATACGATACTCGTCATCACGCGCCTTCACGCTACAGGTCTTTACTTTCGGATGTCCAGCTCTCCCCGACTATTATCATTCTCATTTCACGTATCCATGGTCTTAACGCGGTACAAGCAAGTCAAGCGCAAAGATTGAAGCGTGAGAGGGAGGCGACGCGGTAGATGAGGCTGGATAAAGAACGGAAGAGAGAGGCACGAGGAGGAGGAGGGGGGAGGAGTGGCGGGTCTCGTCCACGGGACAGGGACTAATGCCTCTTAATGTGGTTCTGGGAGAGCTGGAAGATAATGAAATTGTGGAGAGCGCCCTCAAGTGTCTTAAGAAAGCCCTGCCACTGACCTTTCTCGTAGTTGATTTGCCTCTCCTGCTGCCTCGCGTTGTCGGCCGCGACCTTGAGCAAGCCCTGGATATTCCTCAGCAGGGTCTCCGTACTCGAGACCGAGGGGTCCTGGGCGCTCTGAGATACGGCGACCGCCGCCGAGGCTATCTGCGAGTAGTTCAGGGCCTGGGGAGGACTTTCCGAGCCCGGCGCTGGCAACGGCAGATTCTCCGGCACGTCCGACAAATCTGAAAGTGAAATTTTCACATTACGTCGTCTCCTGAGGAATCCTTGAGACGACGAGACGGAAGAACGGCTCCGAGAAACACACTCTACGGCGATAAATAAATGCCGTCTATTCTATAATGCGCGGAGCTCATTTCGCGTAAAGATTCCTCCTCGACCAGAACGTTGTCGGGAGCAAAACGTCAATGATAAATTCGCCGTAACGAACGTCGAACAACGTTCGAAGTACGAGGAGCAGGCCCCAAGACTTATACAGCGTGCGTGTCTCGAAGTCGTAATCTCGCGACGACTACTTGTTACCCTTCGCCACTTTTTGATTTAACGTCAACGCAGGCGAATTAAATTCACGGATTAAACACTACACGGCGTTCCTCGGACGATTAGTCGCGTCTTGACCGACTGGCTGTTCATCATCTCGCTGTGAAATATCGGAGGGAGAAACGAAGTATCGTTATCGATGACCTAGCAATATAATTTGCCGCGCTGATGTGATTGTTCGTGTAAAGTTAATATTATATATCTTTCAAAAAATACCGCTAAAAATTTTCAAAACCAATTTCAAATTCGAAACGCTGCATTCAATCGTCAATATTATATTATCCGCCTCTTTAGGTGAATCAAACTGGACCACCCCAGGTTGAGACACTTCTTGGAAACACTTCTATTCAAAACGTATTGACACACATGTGATATTTTGTCGCGCTATAGAAAGGCCGGCCGCGCACGTGGTCATCGTTCTCCAAAGATCAGCGAAAAGGATCCAGCGGGATCGTCGGAATAAAGGATGCCTTATGGTTATTGCCGTAGGGTCCCGGAGAGTGGCGGTGAGACAAGATGTCTGCGTGGGTTCCAGGCTTAAGTGATCGCTCGTGGTACCGGCCCACACCGTGGGCTTTAGCAGCCCGGCTGCTTTACGGCCAACGATATGTAGTTTATTGTATCGTCTTTTAATTATCTACGCGCACCTACAACGCCACTCGGCAATCGGTTACTTATTGCCATTGGTCGCTTTAATGCTCAGCGCACCTTCGGTGCCGGCACCTTTTGATAGGGAAACGCATCGCCTCTTCTTTCCTTTCGATCCTTCGCTCTCCTAAAATCGCGTTTCTTTTCTCTTTTCTCCTCTCGACGTTATTCCGTGCGCCTATATCTTTCTACCGCGAGCCATTACAATTATCAGGACGAAAGTCATCGCCCTCCTCGAAATCTTTTCGCGACGCGTGAATTCGCTCTTCACCCTTCGAATCTCTCGACGAGAGCGCGAGAAGAATGCAAGTTATCCAATATATGCATTTATAGTCAGTGTAATCTGACTTGAAAAAGAAACCGTTCTCGATAAAGCGAATGAACACGATAATCGAAGACGAGATAAACGAAATGATTGAAGAGGATTTAGACGATCGGTGGATGCGAAATCGACGACGAATCGCGGTGAATCAGATTCCGAGAACGAGAACGAGAGATAGTGGCGCGTCTCATTAAATCAGAACTGCATTCCACGAGCGTGTACACTCCCACGGGCGTTCGACGTGGTTCTACTTCGATCACCCGCGAGCATCGGTGAGTAAGGTGTACCCATGTATTGCATACGACACGCTGCGAGACACGGATTTGATCCTACCCGCCCCCCCTTCTCGTCGTACACGACCCGCACCCGGAATTTATACGTCTAACTCGCGTATTTCGTGGAATTTACGGGCCCACTAATTCGGGGGTACACGCGGGATCCCCTAATTTTGCGGGCGCGCGGCAGTCCCCGATGTTTTCCAGCCAGCCTCTAGCAGTGCGAAGACCGAATGGTGGATAATCTTATGATTTCCGTGAATTCTTATACGGTCCGGTATCGTCGCCCCCGTCGAGACTGCCGTGTCTCGATTCGCCCGTAAATCACTCGTGACCGCGCGAGGCGCGCTTTCTCCTAACGACTCGACCCCGATGCTTGGCATTAAATCGCAGCCCGAAAGAAACGAAATTAATTAAGACAACGCGAGATGATCAAACGCATCTCTCTTCTTTTCTTTTTTCGTAGAAGAAACGCATTCGTAACGCAAAATCGATCCCACGTGGTGGGACGCGACTTTACGAGCGGCCCTCTGGCCCCATTAATTGGACCGGCCAATTAACATGCCGACGCGACAATGGTCGAGTAGATTAGAAATCAAAACGATTATGACGCTTCGGTGAATCCGGAGCGCCAGAACAAGGCAGGGAAGGATACCGGTATACAAAGATCAGACGGAGATTCGATCTCTCGATCCATCTTTCATTAGAAAAATGAAACTAAATACCAAAGATACGAGTCTAATGATCGCTTTGCCCCGACAGTGATGCTTCTTACATGGAAACCGCGCGGCTTGAAGATAATTCGCCGATAAAGGAACAAGCCCATTCGATATCGCGAGGCACACGACACGTTCCACAAATTAGTTGAAAAGCAATAATTGTATTTAATATTTTAACGAAATATTATTATTTTATTCAAACTGGAGACAATTAAAAACGTTGAATCTACACTGTGACTTGGCAACCGCTGCGGTGCGTTTGTCAGAGCGCGATGGAAGACGAATCCCGAAGCGTCCCTCGCGCTCTCTCGGTAGAGATGATGGATGAGAGGCCCTGACCCGCCAGTCGTCTAGAAGAACTCGTCTTTAAACGCGGCGTGTCCGGCAAAATCGATATAATTATTTCACGAGCATGAATCCTTTCTCTCCCCCCTCGTCCCTCTCTATCACTCTCTCTCTCTTTCTTTCTCTCTCTCGCTCATCAAAATTGTCCTTTTAATATTCGTCGAACGTTAACAGCGAAAGAATGCATTTTATGCGGTTTTAATTGATTGCCAGGCATGAATGATCTCTTTCAAACCGATTGCTTTGTCAGAGATATAAATGTGTGACAACTCGCAGATCTCTTTCCTGTCGCTTGCGGTTGAACCGCCTAGCACACTCAAAATACTTCAACATACCTTCGTCCTTTTCATTGTCGTCTTCGAGGTCCTCCGACAGATTGTCGTCCTCCTCCTCGTCGTCTTGAGAACGATGCGACGCGCCTGCCTCGCTTCCGGACTGCTCGCCCACGCTTCCGCTTCCCGCCGTTTTGGAGAGATTTAGAACCGGGCTGTGACCGTTGGAGGAGCCTGAAAACGCACAAACATTGCGAAAAATCAATTAAAAATATAATTTACATTCGCATGCCTATCGAGCACGTAAAGGTATATCTATCCTGTATGCGATGTATATCAGAGTCGGATTGATATCGCAACCGTGTATCCACTTGGCGCGATAACGCTGGAAAGCGGCGTCAATCTTTCCCGGAGAACGTTCGGTTACGAAGAACGAGAAGCGCGTCCATTGACCGGACTGACAAGTTGATGGATTTTATTTACCGCCGCGCATCTCCCGTTTAGACGAGAACAAGCGGACTATCCACTCTCCGAATCTCCCCCGCCAACCCTCCCCGATGTGACCGCCTCTTTCTCTTTCCGCATCCCTTTTTCCTTGCTCCGGCCGTCTAAGCGCGCCCGCGCGCGTATTTGATATCCCAGTATTTTAATCCTGACATAGATAGATACTGTTTGGGCAACGGTCGTCGGCGCTGACGCATTGCTTCGGGCCACTCGTGATCTCACGAGTACTCGGAACGGATACTCGTATGTATAGCGCGATGGTAGAGGACCACAGTGCGTCTCGGCCGTTCACACACGTACGCGCCCGGAGCACTATGTATCTCGTTGGCCGTTGAAAGAGAAGGGTCGCGGTTTTCTCGGCTCTTCCCCGGCGCGATCTAATGAATCGTACATCTTTTACGTTAAATTGACTTCTACACGCCGGCCGCCGTTGAAGGCTGAGAGTCCCAATCGAAATCAACGGCAATCGAGATCCTCTCTCGCGTGAAATGTGACTTTAATCTCAAAAATCTAATTTATGCGTGTACATTAAAATACACAAATACGATCGATTTTTGCACGCGTGTGTATGGACATTATTTGACAGGTCGAAAAATGCGAAAAGTAGGTAGAAGTCGAAATGTGTCCTGGGCGAAGGTGGGCCCGTCGCGGAAGATAAAGAGTTCCATCAGACGGATTATAATATTATGGGGAATCAGAAGGAGATGTAGGGCCGCGGACCAGGACGTAACCCGATATTGGACTTAATCTCCGGGATCCTAAACGTCCGGGACGCTCGTCGTTCGGCCGCCTCGCGGACACACACGGACCCAGAAGGGAAGAACGAAAAGGTAGAAATACAGAAAAGAACGAATACGCTCGGATTTTCGGACCGCCGCGCCGTGTCGCGGTCAAAAATCTTTCTGCGCCGCTTGACTTCGAGTCCGCATCGATCGACCGTGTTCCCTGGGGGAACTCTGACGATTAAGGATCTCGCGTTACATACTTAATCCATATGACAGGCGCTATGGCAGGCAGGTAGGAATACGAGAAATGGTATTAGAAACTATAATGCCTACGACACGGCATAACTCACGGCATACTTTCGAAATAAAAATTTTTTTTACATTGCATATCAAATAAAAACATTTTAGATTTATCAATACTGCTTAATTAATTTATTGTAAGTCAATATTTGTATATATTATACAAGTGGGATGTATATTAATTGCGAATCATTAAGCTAACAGTTAAATTGTAAGTTGCTAACAAACTGAGCGTATCACTATAGTCTTTATATATTTATATATGATCTATTATTTTTTAGAGTTATATATAATATATATGATTAAACTCGGAATATCGAGCATGCATACTATTTGCTTGATGTAGCCTTACCATTGTGCGAGCTGAGATCCCTGGGTTTGTGGTCCAAAGCCAGCGCTCTCTCGGCGTCGCCCCTCTCCTCGCGGAGCCTGTAACAAAGAAGAAGAGAGAAAAGAAAGGTTTCGTATTAATCTGGGGGATTTAAATCGACCGAGCGTGGAGGTGGACTCCGCCGCTACGTAGGGTATTAATTAAATAATTATTCTAGTCGTTGGGCAAGGGATCCGCGTAGGAAGATAAGTACTGGTCTCACACCGCGACGCGACGGTCGTATCACTGTACACCGCGCATTATCGTCCTTAATCGCCTTGTCCGCCGCGACACGCATCTCGCATTTATTTAACCTACCACGAAAACGTCACGAAGAAAAATCATGCTTTATGTCGCCAACGATAAATTAATCAAATTTATTCAAAGATATATTCTTCGAGCGGAACCTGTGAATGAGCGAAAAACAAATTTCCAAAAAGGGGGATGAGAGATTCCGCGCTTCCTTTTTTTAAATTTTATTTCGATATCCTCGGGCATCCTAGTTTACGAGGTCGTCGCTCGTTAATGCGGCAGCGCGTTTTTCCGCTCTCGTGTCACAAGAAACTTTTAATCTTAGCTTTATATTGTTTGGCACTCGTGCCCTCGGGTTCCATCATGGCTTATCCAGAACCGTTAAGATTTCTGTCTTCGATGTTGCGGTTCGCATTAAGAAGCGAGCGGAATCGGGTAGTTCTCATCGTAAAGCCGCGGGAAACGAGAAAGATAAAAGCTTCGTACAAAATTACATTTTAACGTTGTTCCTTCAACCACGAAAGGCGTAATTGATCCTTGTTGGCCGATTCATCACAGGTCGCGGTTGATAGAACGATAAAAAATTATTAACACCGTTGCGAAGAAGCAACCTAATTAATGAGATTATTGCTTCGTCGAGATAATATTATCTCGCAGCAAAGAGGAAATAATTTTCGAGTGACAAAAAGTTCCGTAGTACAACCACTTTGGCCAAGGGACAGATTCTTTAATCGCGCGTAAAGAGTTGAGGGCGAGAGAGCGACCCTCGGCAGCATTGCCGCAGAAAAAGGGGAACGCGCTCACCAATACCGCGGCTTTTATCACGAAGTTTATGGCGGAGGTCATCGTAGTCGCGGATTTATTTTGCAAGAATTCAAGAGAGAAAGAGAGAAAGAGGAAGAGAGAGGCAAGTAAACGTGTTTCCCAAGTGATTAGATTCTTTCACCGCACGTACTGTATCCGTTTCTCTTTTCTCATTTTCTCTCTCTTTCTCTCTCCCTCCCTCCCTGCAGTCTCCTCTCCCTTTTCTTTCTCTCTCTTTCCCACGCGCCTCTTGCTTCTTCTATTTTTTTTCACTCTTCTCGTACTCAACTCGCCAAATTATTCCCCAAGGTATATACTTTTTCCAGCTTCGGTTCAGAGCTGCGGTTCGGAAGAGGGGGAGGGGGCGACTCTTTCGCACCTCGAATCGAACCGCGGACCATTAAGTAAGAAGTTAATATCATTAAACATAATATTGGGCGCATCTGGGAGCCGCAGAGCACTTACCGACCCCTCCGTCCACCCCCGGTCCCCTTGCTCGCCACAAAACCCTCCTGTCTCAGACCCACGCTTCGTTTCTGCACCGCGAACTCGGTCCCCCTCACCCTCCATCACTCCCACTCGTCCCTCTGCAACCGCTTCGCTCCTTTTCGCCCCCCGCTTGCCTCCGGTTCCCTCCCTACCCTTAATTTTTTAATGAGAAAATGCTTTCAAAGAGCCGGAGAGAAATACTGTGTCTACGAGCGATAAGTTACGGCAGTGTTAAGGGAAACGGAGAGAGCCTTTATGTGCGCACCTCGCAGGCCGCAAAATGTAAAGATTCCCTGACTAGAAAAAAACGAGAAAAGAGCATTTCGTCCTTATGATTGAAATGGCCAACGCGGATATTACAAAAATCTAACCGTAATATAAAAGTAACAGAAAAGGGGGGAAAAAAGGATGAGAAGTTCCATTGAGCATAATAATGGCTCGACAAGACACCGCCGCGCCTGTTGGACGTTCGAATATTATAATAAATTAATTTCAGATGATAATTAAATTTTAATTGGTAATACGAGTCCATTAAGACACAGAGGTAACCGGCGGTAAACTTGGTCTTGTTCTTTTCTCATGATCTGTCTTCTACTTTTTTTCAACGACGAAATCGTCGATAATCTGCAGAAGCGAAATGGCAAATGGGGGGGAGGAGAACGTCAGGAAAAAGGCAAAAGAACGAATGGGGGGAAGAGACGCGCGAGAGCAGCGCGGAGTCGATTCATTTAGACGTCGCGGCCTGGCAATAACCGGCAACGAACCGAGGTTATTAAATTTGTAATTAGTCGAATATTACGTTCGACGTCGCGGCGCTCTCCGTGTCTACACGTCTACGGTTACGACGCCGTGGCGTCCGCGTGTACGTACGCCCCGCGTATTCGCGTGCGCGAATACGTTAATACGGGTTTCATTATACGCGCGTAATACGGCTCCTACGCTCACGGATCTCTACGATACGCAAATAATTAGTGATCGTGGCCCTACCTCAGGGACGGGCGCGCGAGTTGCCTCGTACGCGAAGAAGAACCGTTTTCTCGACGAGGAATAACGAGGCGCGCCGTATTCACCAGTCGAAATTACAACCTCGTTAGCCGAGGGAAGGGGTTGCAGCCGAACGTTTATATTAAATTCGGTTGTGCGTCGTCGCGATTATTAATTTGTTGATAAATAATCGCGGCCGGGAGGCAGTACTCTTGTGAGTCGTGCCCTCGGGCTCACCCACGCTTTTGCGTGCCGCGAAACTAATAAGCCGCGCCGAAAACGAAAGCGCGCACCCTTCTGTATCTTTAGCTTTAATTTTGAGTCGGTAATGATGAACTCCGCGGGGATTCCCTATCCCGGCCGTTCAGAAACGGCCGCCACGAACAGCAGGAGTTCATTAAGAGGCGGCGAGATTTCCGAAGGACGAGAGAGCGAGGCCACCGGAGGATTTCTAGATCATTTCGCGAAATCGGATCGCACTCGCGGATCGCCTCGTGGCGGAAATCACTCACCGTCTAGCGAATATAACGCACGGAGCAACGCGTGGAAGCAATCCGATAATGCGCCTTCCTCTCTCCTCCCCCTGCCCCCCTGCCCCCCTGCCCCCCCTGGATCCCGCCTCTCGGTCATATTTTTCCGATCGGCATTCCGGGGAGACGTATGTTTTTTCGGCCGCTTTGACGGTTTCGATCAAAACGGGACGCGCGACAAACAATGGGGAGGGATTTCCACGTCCACCAAACGCATCGTGCGCATAACGCATCCGATAATGACGATAGCAATTGTAATTTCGGCACGACAAAGGGCCTCTATAAAATGGCGAAGGTATGTCCCCGCGCGCTCTTCGATCCGGGGCGGCCGTCCAACAGCTTTTTTAATAAACGATGCACGTGCCATCGGCGTTCCAGCATTCACATACGCCAATGAATTTTTATAACGACGCGTCGTCGCATGTCGCGGCGTGTAAACATTTTTTTTTACCCTAAATCGCGAATCCCCAATTATCCGCGTGTTTATCCCGTTATCGAGTAACGGGAAGCCCCGAACGTCGTAATACCGATCGACACACTATTACATTCATAACTACCTGGCGAACGAGACGAAAATATTTTAGTGACGTTGATTGAAATGAAAATTTTAATCGCCGTCAAAAAATTTCAGTCTACTTTGCATACGATAAATTCTCAGGAGGTGCGTTGAAATAATTCGCAGTATCGGAATTAAACCAGTTGGCCAGATTAAAAAGTACACCAGATGATACCACCGACTCGATGTGAGAGACTTCGTAATCGTTTGTTAATTCTGTACGTAAAATTAATTTCGTAGGAAGGCAAAACGTTTTCTCCGCGCGCGTACATATCTCAAGGGTCGCTTCCTCGTAGATATTTCGACCGAGTCGAAATAATAAACGACCTGGATCTGCGAGAAGGGTCGTAACATGATCCAGAGTGCGCGCTTCTGCGAGTCCGGGAGTGAAAATTCCACCCTTAGGACCGTGACATTCGAGGCGAAAGGGGTTCACGCGGACTCTCGTAACGAGTGTCCTCGTTGCAGACGCAACGCGATCTTGAAAGGGACTTCTTCCCGTTGCAAGACAGTATTTTCTGAAGTGTTGATGTTAATAATCGTGTAAATTACAACCGAACAAAAGACATATCTAATAAGCCTAATCTCTGTTAAATTATTCAATTATATGAATCAGAGAAAGAATTTCGAGCTCGCGATCTAATTCAAACAAACGTAAGGGTACAGAAGAAAATAATGGAAGACTTAATTCGAAAATACGGCGAGACCATAAATCGTGCAAATTACAACCGAACAAACGGCATCGAAGTCCGAACTCCGTTAAATTATTCAATTATGACTCATTGTTAGAGAAAGAACTTCGGGCTCGCGATGCGCGTGTCAATTTAGCGAGAACGCGATCTAATTCAAACAAACGTAAGGGCGAGGAAGAGAAAAAAAATGGGAGACTTAATTCGAGAATGCGGCGAGACCATAAATTATTTTGGGAGATTCCCCGTTGACGTGGTACAAGCGTCGAAACTCCGGTTCCTTCGCGCGAAGGGCGAATCGCAGAGCGATGGACTCGAATTACAAACGATGCCGTCGTCGCCCCGGCAAAAAGGGCCGGGGCGCGTCCTATCCTCTGTGTTCTCCGTCAGATCCTTACAGATATTATCCGGCATATCGCGAGAGACGGACAACATTTATCAACCCATGCGCAACCCGTGGAAAGCTCTTTCCTCGAATTCAATCAGTGGATGCCTGACATTCCACGGACATCAATAGGGTAGCTGAAGTAAGACGTTTGACTCTCTGACATTAATTTCTGATTTTCTTTGGTTCTATTTCAAAGCTAAATCTCATAGAAAATTACTGTTACGTTTTTGAGGGCATGGTATAACCGTGTAAATTTAAATTCCATATCGTCGCAAATGCGCGATTAATATTCATCTTTTTTTTCTCGTTTGTAAACAACCGTTATGTATTCATCGCGAAAAGTTTCGACGGATTCCTTGACCCAAAA